CAATTAAAAAATTCAATTTAAAGTATCTAAACAAAACCAATACAACATACCTGTACACTTTGTTCCAACAGGTCTGCAATGATCTGTGTGAAAAGTAAATGTACTACATGTATTTGCATTGTACGGCAATTTATATGATACATGTCAAACAATTTACTAGTAAGAGTCAAGCAAGAGATATAAAGACTGACGCTACAGATATGTACGGTACATAAATATCGAAGTCCAGCACTATATATTTTAAAAACTCACTGCAAAAGGGGCCTGCGTGACTTGTGGAAGAGCCGCGTACAAGCTATGTATGTTTACGTATTTTCGCCGGCGCCCCCCTCCCACCCCACGCCCATATATATATATATAATACGTTAGCTAAAGCGCAAAATTAAACGAGGCGGCTCCTAATTCTGAAGATATCTACATCTATATCGTCACTCCTGATCTGCCAAAAGTTTATGTTGTGTCACAAGAGTATTCACAGAACGTTACCTGTTGTCGTCTGCGTTTTTCGAACGCCGTACGTGAGCCGCTTACAGCAGACGACGCCCCACTCTCAGCCGGTCTTTCGTCAAACGCATGTACATCCGGCACGGCTGTGGGCTTCAACTGAACGCGTTTACGTATTCCGAATTCCCGCTCGAGTCCGCCGACAAACTGGTCGCTAGAAAAATGACGACTGCACAGTTCGGCTTTCGCCCCTCCCGTCCAGTTGTTTCTACGGCGCTGTACGTACTGGGTCCACAATCGCCTTCTCCGCGGGCTGCTTGGAAAACTATGCAAACTAAGTCCTAATTTCGTCGTCCCAGAACAACCATAAGCTACACATCTACGCACCATATTTCTATAATAACAAAGATAAACAAAGATACTGACGAAAAAACTTGGGCTGACAAAAAAACTACATGACAGTTCCTGTCGTCTGCTAAACTATGACGCTCGCGTTCCTACTGTGACGTCACTTCCGGTCTCACTGCCGAGTTTGCACTAGAGTAGAGCTGGTGGACTTAACACTTAGTTTTCGCAAATTCATGGGCGCTTGGATAAAAATGAGGCAATTTCTACAATTACATGTGTGGAAAGCTGTTTATTCCCCAAAATGCACATCCCTTGTTACATAGGGGCTTTAACTAAACTACTAACCTAACCGGTGCGGGAACTGACGACGGGAAACAGGGAGCAGCAGAGCAGAGAGCGGTTCGTCCCGCTATTAAATACTAGTAGTACACGCGGAAGGCGGGGCGACATCTGCATGGCGGAGGCGTGGTCAGGCTTAAGCCAATGACGCGTCTGGGAGCACGTCGGCAGAACGCACTGCACCTGCGCGAAACCCGTAATGTATTATACATAGCACTTCGGTAGAACGTCTCATATAAGGTCGTATTCACTCATATAAGGTTAGCATTTCGACAGTAGTTTCCAAATGTTATGTCGGAAAGAATATCCTCTGCAACAGGCAAAATTCTAATGCAACGTTGACCAAAAATCCACCGAAAAGCGTGAAAATGTAGGGTTCTGCGCAGGCGCAGTATGTTCTGCCGACGTGCTGGCGTGGTCAGGCTTGAACCTCCACGGGAATTAATCAACCGTGCCAAATTCGGTGAAATTTGCTTAGTATATCTGGTACTGACGTCGGTTCAAGTAAACTACGCCAGTTTATTTCACCGCCAGACCTCCGTTGCCATGGCAACGGCCACTAGGACCGTCCCCTATGCTTTACTATGGGAGTTCCCCACTGGCTCGAGAACGCGTACCCCCCCCCCCTTTTTTCTGCCGTAAAAACGGCTTACACTAACTACAAATCACTCACAACGTGAGAGGATACAACAATGATTCCCGCTAGCCAGAAAAAGTCGGCCGGAATAGTAAATTTGACCTGAAAAGAAGACCATTAAATGGCCCGTCATTAGGGCCTTGTACGGGACCTAGCCCTACGACAGGTGCCGAAGTGCAAAGTTGCCTAAATCTCAACAACCGTTTGGATTTGTGGAATAAAATTTGGCGCTCACTCAGTGGCTTTATTCGGTAGTTATAGCAACTGACAAGGCTTTATCACACCATATTCACCTCGGGGCGGGTCATTAACCCTTAATTAAAGAACGTTTCGATCTTAGAAACCACATGTTAGAGAATAGTTAAACCTTTATTGTTACCGCATACATTTATTCTGTACGTAGGATGACGTTATCCACACATGTATTTAGCTTTGTTAGATCTTTAGTTGTTGAAGACCATACAAAAGTCCCTGTGCTTTTTGTTGTGTCAATAAAGAATTTATGAATTGGTCCAGTAATCATGCGTTCTTTATGTACGGTGTAGCGAACTCCCCCAGGCGGTAGGTCTTCACACAGTGAGTCCCTTTGAAGAAGCTTCCTTCTGTGACGGCTACAAGTCCGCCCGGTCCTACGGCTAACGTCTGTGGATAGCTCAAACCGTCTTTCTGAGACAGCACCACTCCCTGGTACTTTCCCCCCAAACTTATGGACATCACCTGGAAAACAGTCGATAAACATTCGTTGACAACTACTTAGTAAAACTGTACAAGTTCCATAGAATTGTGTTGACAATGTAACTATAGTACACAATGTAATTATAGTAAACGCATAGCGACTAGGTCAAATTGCATAGCTTGTTAACGTTAGGCCGCAACATCTGTTATGTACATGTGTAATAGTATATGTTTATCTGAAGTGAAACCGACACTGTTACCTGTTCCGAATTGTTTATGTTCTTGTTGTGAGGGCTAGCCCTTTAAAATAGCCTCCGGCTAGTTGGGCAGCCCTGGCTGTATATATCTGTTTATACAGTCTAATAAATCAAATTAAATCAAATTACCTGGCCAGTAAAGATGTCCACCACCAGGATGACGTCATTCATGACGCAAAGGCCGCCGGGACACTCGAGGTGTACCTCACGTTTCAGCCTCGGCCCGATTCTGCGCAGAAACCTCCCCCTGGAGTTGAACACCTTGAGGCATTTCTGAAACTCGTCCGAGACGACGATGTCGTCGGAACTCGTGACGGCGACGTAGTACGGCAGGTAGAACTGGTCGTTGGCGTCGCCGTGCTCGCCGAAGGACATGAGCGTCCCGCCGTCCGAGCGGTGGACCGTCACGCGGTGCTTCCCGACGTCAGCCACCACGTACCTGCCCTGACTGTCAACAGCGACGCCATGCGGATTCTTCAGAATTCCAGCCCCAAACTGCACCACGAGTTCGTGTTCCCTTTTCCGGTGAAGCTTCCACACTTGAACCTCCCCCTCTTTTCTCCTCCCCTCCCCCTTAGTCCCCGTCACTGCTACTTGCCCCTCGCTGTTCATAACGACAGCATTGGGTGACATGTCCAGTCCAACTTTGGTCTTGAACTTGCCGTTTTTGTTGAGGACCACCAGCCTACGATTTCCCTGGTCAGCGACGATGACGTCACCAGCCTTGGTGACCACGAGTCCGCAGGGATTGTTGAACTTGATGTCGTCATCATCCTCGCCATGACCTATGACCCACAACAACCTTTCCGGTTCTTTGCTCGCACTCGTACTGTCTTCTCTACCCTCGTTAATAGCCAGTACGTTTTCTGACTGACAGTCCGTTTGAAAACTACATGCACTACCTTCTTTTCCTGTTGCATCACTTTCTGAGTGGTTGTGGAAACTTTCTTCGGTACTTGTAACCGACCCGTTGCCTTTGTGATGCTTTAGTTTTCCTATCCCCCTTGTGACCTGCGATAGTAGATTCTTATCCGGTTCAAATCCGATCTTTTCGTTGTAATTACCTGCTACTACGACCTCTTCTTCTGAAGAGAGCAGCTCGGCGATCTTGGCAGCCAGGCAGTCCCTGAGAGACGCCGCCTGTTCCGGGTTGCCGTACTTGCTCAGCGCGGTGAGGAACTGTGTGACGTAATGCAGCGCGCAGAGTCGCTTCTCCAGCCCCTCCCGAGCCGAGGCGACGTCCGAACACACCCGACTGTACACAATGTCGGTCTCGGTCTGCAGCCAGCTTCGCTGCTTCCCGATGATAAATTCCAGTCTGAAACAGGGGAAAAGAAGAGATATTTTAACTCAGAAAAATTCGCATTTAGGCCATGTTGATTTGAGTATGTGGATGACATAAAAATAATTCAACCATGCTGTAAATCGTGCAAAAAATGAGCAAAAATGTACCGTTAGTTGCAAAAAATATCTGAAAACGATACCAATGTCGTAGAAAATTAAAAATTAAACGAAGCAAGACGAAAATGTAGAAATGAATTTTAAGAGTAGATTATTCGCCAAACCATATTCTGTGTCATTTGTTCCACCTTCATGATCACGTATATTTCATAATGAAAGTTTTTTTTGCAAAACTTTTTTTTTCGCACGCGCGCATCAGTTTCGCGGTTACCAGATGATGCCATCCATATAATCAAATCAACATGTCCTTTAAATAGCAGCTTTTGGAGGGATAGTTTTGTTTCATTTATAGTTTGATTATTCACACAAAAAGAAGGGGCCACAAATATTTGTGTTGTCAATTTTCATGTCTCAATACAAATTTATTTCAAAGTATCTACACATTTATTATATACACAGCATTATATATCTCGTATTGAAAAACTGGCATATAGTAACTTTGTTATCAACGATTTTGTCTTTGAAAGAAATAATCAAATAATTGCACAAAAACAAAAAAAAGAACTTGACGTTATAGAACCCTGCCTTTTTCTTGTTCTCTTTTTAGACTACCATGTTAGAAATCTCACCGTTGCGAAAAGTCGTCCACGTCGGCTTCAACTTCGTTCCTTTCTTGTACTTTTGCCTCCTCAAGTCTTTGCCAGCTTTGCATCAGCGAGGTGAGTTCCCTCGCTTTGCGATGTAGCTGATCAACAGCGCCCTCTATACCTAATGACACATTACTGCAAGCTGGGAAGACCTCCCCCTCGTCTTGCACTTGCACTGGATTTGAAACATTCTTATTTTCATCATCGTCGCCACTGGCACACAGTGTAAAGTCCTTAGACTCATCTTCTGTCTCTTTTGTGTCTGAAGACTTTATGTCAGAATGCTCAGAACTTTTATCCGAGTCGTCCTGTTCTTCTATTGTGCTCAAAAAATGTTCATTTTCATATTCCTCATCCAGAATGGCCAAAATGGAACGAGTACCCATTTTGTTGTCCTCGTTCCCAGGTTTTGTGGGTACATTATAGTTCTCGTCCGCAGTGTCCCATAGAGACACCACCCGGTGACCTCTGGTGAACTTTGTCCTTGTGTGACACGCTGCGCAATCTGAACACAGATAGTCTCCACAGTCCTGACACTCAGCGCTTGCCTTTATATCAGAACGGTCTTCGCACACGCCGCACTTCTTAAAGATAAGCGTCTCCTTAAGGTGGTCGGCGTCTTCGTCTTTGAGATTGAGAAGGAAGGAGGCATCCGGCAGGCCAGCTACCGTCTCTCTGGGGTCCAACGTTGTTACAGTCTTGCATATGGTACAACTCACCTGTTTGAACAAACCATTGTGAAAGAATTTGTAAATGTTGTAGTGCAAAGGCTGTGGAAGACGAAATACATTTTATCTCAAACTGTTCATTCCATAACGCTCGAAATGAGTTGTCTATTCAAACTTCTACAATTTATCCCATTTTCTCTAAACTTACAGACAAAGAAAAAACTATTCTTCTTTTAACTTCCCAAAATTAAACCCCAGAAATTTTGGAAAAGGTGGGACATTACGTCTTCCATGGTTTACAGAAGAGAAGTCAAATCCCCCAGACGTAGTTTTAGACTTATTTGTAGTTCTGGACAGCTACCTTCATCATGTAGACGTTGGTTATTTTATACTCAATTCAAATGTAGTTTTATGTTTTGTAATTTGCAATTAGCAATGAATTCGCAATAAACTTTCAATCAATTGTTGCAAAAATTATGTTATTTCCTAGTAAAAAGTTGTTAACAGACAACTCAGATCATGCTACATGGAAATATATTACTGTGTGTCTATGGCAAATGTAAAAGAAAAATCATGCCAAAATTAGGTATCATGAAAAGTTTTGAAACTTTGTGTACCTGATTCAGTCTTGCCATAGAACATGTACAGTACAGTACTTGCTTTATGTTACATATAATACGACAGGACAACACACAACATATTTCAAGTACCAATTTGTAGGTTGAACTTCCGAGCTAGTAGTCTTTACTTCTTAGTTACTTTTGTCTGACACATTAGTATACAGTTGACAGCTGCGCACACTCATGAAAATGCTGTAAACAGTTAGCCTACGTAGCAGGCTGGGGGTTTGGTGGTCTTCGGCTGTTTTCTGGTCAGCCCAGTTCTAAAACGGGGGTAATTCAACCAAGCCGGCCAGCTGTGTTGTCTATATGCAAGCAGAAAATAGCACATAAAAGCTCCAAAAGACCCTGAAGACCCCCCCAACCCCCAGTTTTTGGCATGCTATCGAGGCTAGTGAACAGTGTACTTCTGTAAAAGCTTACCGTAGTCTCTTCACCAGTGGCGGACTCCAAACAGTTTGTACAGAACACATGTAGACAGTTCAGCGCCCTGGGCTCACTGTAACGCTCAAAACACATCTGACAGAACTGCACTGTGTCTGTTAGACGAGCAAGTATGGAATACTCCATACTTGGAATACTCTTTTCTACCGGTAGTACCTTTTGTTTACAGCTTCTGCCAGCGCATGGCGTTAGTTTACATTGGACGTTATCAGATTTCAGTTTGGGCGAAACCACTGCTTCAGGGGTATGGTTTTATCTTGTAAAATTTCTTTTCACGAAAGCTGTTAGACTAAACGTGTTTCGATTTTAGATTTCACCCCTTACTTATTCAAAGTCCAAGATTTGTGTTATATTATATGCTCCAAACAGTTATAAATTGGCATTCTAAACTTCATATGTTTTGTGTAATGACCTTTAATCATATTGAAGTGAATGCTACGACTCTGAAATTAGCGTAGTTTCAAAAGCTCCTCTACCAAAGAAAATACTTACTATATTGTAATTATACAAATCAACTTTCCTCTTGTTTCTCACACTATCAGTTGAGGTAATTTCTTGGTGCTACGAACACTCACAAACCCTCCCCCAATGTTGGCCAGGTGGTATCGCCCCGTTGAGCAATGACAACAAACATGGCGCGTCTCCTAGGTGATGTTACGTCATCACGGCCTGCCTGTAGCCTCTAAGAGGGCCTGCATGCCCTTTTTCGTAAGGCGTAATCAGACCTTTTTAAACTTCGTAATTCGTAGGCAGCCTCCGCAAAAATCAACGAAATTCGTAGTAGGACATTGAATAGCCTTAAATCGTAAAGTCGTAATCTGCTCTGAGACTTAAACGTAATTCGTAATCGGCGGCAAAAATTTTGCGTAATTCGTAATTATCCCCCATGCAGACCCTCCTCTGAGTCCACCTGGTCAGGGCTGAGTGACATGTTTACTTTGCGGAGAGATTAAGATAACAAATCTGAAGTGCGGAGTTCTGTAAACATGTCCCACTACTAGTGTTACGCGGCCCCTGACATGGTGTCTTTAGGGCGTTGAAAGCCGAATTACTTGTAATTGTGTACATAACGTTTGAGTTTTGTGATTGTGCTACGTACGCCAAGTCTTTTTATGTTTGAAAGGTAATTTTCCAGCTTAGCTAGGCCACACTGTTTTCATTTTATTAAAATCACAGCCCCCAAAATGGTGCTAAACCACAGGAATACAAAGCTGGTACTTTAAATTTGCGGTAGTACATACCATTGTCTTGGAATAAAGTTCAGCATTGTGCTACAAGCTACACGGTAGATTATGAGATGTACATACACACCATAATGAATTACACATCACAATTTGAAAATTTTACATAGTAACATAGTTATCATATGCCCAGGACAAAGATCCATATACAAGTATAAACTCTTATAGACAGAAGTTTTTACTTCTTCAACATTTGTCAATGTTTTCATTTCTGAATATCTCGCAACAGGTGCTCCCAGTCCAAGTGTTTCCGTGCATCCAGGTATGTAATGTTCTTTATCTCATCGGGAACCTCACAATCCTTCAGGAGCACAGGGATTACTGACTCTGTTGCCTCTTCCACCTTCGCGTGAAGTGCTTCCTTCATTTCATGTTTGCACCATTTGCTCTGAAGAAGGTCTGGTGTAAGGATGACGAGCACCTTTGCACTTTGTTTGATGGTTGCTGTGATGTTGTCTAGGACATATTTGCCAAGCTGGAAGTCTCTTTCAGCGATGCAGCCTTTGAGGTGATGCTCGCCCTCTAGGTTTGCCAGAAGGGTGTAGTTTACCCACTCTGCGTCTTTAGCACTGTGGATGACGAAGAAGTCGTAGTGGAAACCTTTGGTGTTCTGGGCTTTTTCTACTTGTTTCGGCATGAATTCTCTCTGCTCTTCAGTCGCCGGGTGACGTTCGTCTAGGAGTTGGCCTCCTGTTGCCCCTTCCTCACTTTGATCACTGTTAGCTGTCTGCTCGTGGTCCCCGTGGTCCTTGCTCCTGGGTTCTTGAACACCATCGTTAGCAACGGCTTCTTGACATTCCTCTATATCTTCGTCTATTCGACGCTTTCTCTCTGCGATCTCTTGGGGAAGCGGCCCTCGGATGGTTTTGTCCACATAGTTCCAAATTCTTCTCGACATGCCGAGGTCCTTTGTGATCCTGAAATAGATGGCTGTGTGCAGAAACTCTTCGGGAAACTTCTTGATGAGTGCAGGTATGACTTTGTCGGAGACTGCTTCGTACTTGGACAGTGCCATCTTCAGATAGGTGGCCGTCTCTGCCACGACTGGCTGAAAGCCTTCTGAGTCTGACATCTCTCTACATTGATCCAGAAGCATAGCCAGTAATGGCTCGATATTTCCGTAATATGTAGTTGCTTGTCTATCCAATTCAACAGCCCTTTTCCAACTCTCCACTGCCTGTTTGTTTTCTTTGAGGCGTTTTAAGCATTCAGCACGGAAAGAGTGTATCTTTACATCTCTCGGTCCCTGGTCTAGCTTCAGTGCTTTGTTGAAGTAGGTAAGTGCTAATTCAATCGTGCTGTCTGGGCTACCATCTCCCGGAGTTGCCCCAACGTGCTCTTCTTCTGCTAGCTTCATGGTGGCCTTTCCTAACAGGTAGTAATTCTTAGATGATTGCATTCCTTGTAGACATGTCTGGAAGTCTACTATTGAATCCTTCAACAGTTGGATGTAATTAGGATCCCTCTTTCTCTGAGGAAGTACCTTGTTACCCATGTAGTTCATCAATGTAAGCTCCCCTCTGAGGTGGTACCCATACCAGTTGATTTTGGCGTCACACTCTGTTTCTAAGGATGCATTTACAGTTTCGTCTGCTTCCCGAAGAACTTGTTGATATTTCAGTGCACGAGCCATAGTATTGAGAACACGGTGATTATTCCGTGCTAGATCTATGGCATGCCTGATTGAGCCTTCCCTCTGCAACAAGGTTTTTACTTCATCTTCGAACCTGGAAATATCTTGCATCATATCTTCTGTATAGTGATCGGCCCTGGTCTTTGGCAACACACAGTTCAAATAGACGAGTGTTTGTGCTTTGTACAGACGAGTGGGTGCTTGTTCAAGAACTTCTTTGTAACTTGCTATGCTTTTGCCCATATGTTCAATCACCATTTGCTTCGCACTGTCATCACACAGCTGAGTGTGTTGTGCATATATCTGTTGGTGGTTGAACGCTTCGAAGAATGACCAAGTCATCCTTTCCTGTGCATCAACCACGCCATTTCCAATTTCGATTGCACTTTGGTACAGAAGATCGGCCATTTTGTATTTTCCTACTTGTTCTGTACCTTCCTCATCTTTTTCAAAATAATCGTAAGTTAGGGCAAATGCCTGCTCTGCCATGGAGCGTGCGACTCGAGCCTTTACTTGACCGGGTTCAGATGTGGTATCTTCGTTGCCATGCAATCTTGCAATGTTAGCCTCCAGGGTTTTGGCCTTACCTTCCATGCCCAACTCCTTGCTGATGTGGGCCAGGTTTTTGAAGAGCGTTCAGATTCTGTGGATCTGTCTCCAAAATGTCTTGTATGAATTTTTTTGCCTCATCTGTCTGCTGTAAAGCATACTCAAACACGCTAAGGAGGTTTAAAAGAGCTAGCTTGGTACATTCAACTTCGCCTGGATTGTTTAGCTGGTCTTTGAGTCTCTCTTTTTTCAGCTGAATGTCCCTCTGATCTGAAGATGGCCGGAGTATGGTCAGGGGTAGATGGAAGTGTCCAGACTTGTGGTCCAAGATAGCATCACAGGAATTCGAACTATCTGAACAAATCACAAACAAAGTGGTCTCTTTGAGTTCATATTCTCTTTCAAATGGCAAAGCAACAACTATCATTTTTTAAGAATTGTTATGTTATGTTATGTTATATTATGTTATGTTATGTTATGTTATGTTATGTTGTTATGTTATGTTATGTTATATTATGTTATATTATGTTATGTTGTTATGTTATGTTATGTTATGTTATGTTATGTTATGTTACACTATAGCTATACGTGGATTCTAAATATATATAGGGGAAAGATTTTTTTTTATTTGTTTACGAAACGTTGACCAATTGTTAAGAATTGATAACCGTTGTTTACCGGGGAATGCTATATTGCTTTATTTGACATCATGATGGCAAAGCAACAGCAATTGTTATGTTATGTCATGTTATGTTATACTAATTATGTTATACTAAAAATCTCTATTTAGTTTAGAATCCACATGGTATAACATATTAACATAATAAGCATAACATAACATAACATAACAGAACATCATGAAAGTTCATCTGTGTTTGTAGTAATCATAGCAAAACATTACACTTTATTCCAACACACAATTTCAAAGGGATCAGATTTTCAGCGACCACTGTCGCCTTCATCAGGATAATTAATGACCAATCACTATGGTGCTCTCTGGCACTTTTGATCACGTCACGTATCAGTAAAGTCTCGTCTGAATAAGGTCACGTGTTTGTAACCGTAACTCTCGCGAGATCACGCTGTGAAGTGATTGGTCATTAATTATCATCCTGATGAAGGCGACAGTGGTCGCTGAAATTTGATCCCTGTACAATTTTGTGTTGGAATACAGAACAGAACATGTATGAGGATGTACTGAAGTGAACTGAAGTGATAACATACTAGTATCTCATGTAAGGCCACACCGTCTTAATTTTATGGATGGCATCCTCTGAAGACCCCCAAACTAATGCACGCGGGCAAATAAAAAAAATTCCGGCCAAAAATAAAAATGCTACTAAACCACAAGAATACGAAGCTGGTATTGTGAATTTGCGGCAGTACATAGCGACATATACGACAATCCGACACATGCTGGCTCTTTGCAGAATTTATGAATCGGCACTGTACGTATGTACTGAGTTCTTGAGTCGTGGAGCTTCGGTAGCCTGGGTGCCTGGGTCCGTATTGTCACTAACTACCATGGACTACCCGGGCCTAGAGCCAGGCCTGAGCCTCGGTGGACCGTCGTGATCTTTTTTTTTTTTTTTTTTTGAGAACGGGCGAAAATCAATGCGCGCGCGGATTTCATCCATAAAATTAAGTCGGTGTGGCCTAATCCCAAATTCCTGACCACCATTTGCCAGCTTCGAATTCGGTTATGTCTTGGATAGAGACTTACCTTGAGGTTGCTGTCGTGCAACAACGGCTGTTGTTTCGTCTTGGACCTGCATAACTCCAAACGCTGGATTGTCTCTCAGACGCGACATGGCTTTGATCACGACTTCTGGATCATGGATTAAAAAAGTCTAGATATGTAAGAACGCTCTCGAGAATTCACTCTTCTCACCTAAGTCGATTTTTTTAGGAGAGCATAAAGTGAGTTTTGATAGTTACAGTAATCGAATGAGCTAGAATGTTTAAAAAAAAGAGGGGAATTCCGAGATTTTCGAAGTGTACACAACGCCATTAAAGACACTTTTCATAATAGGCTTGGCCAAATGTGTACTTGGTTACCGGGGAATTCAAGCGGCATGTACAATGTATTCAGGCGGTGCAAAGTGCTCCAGTCCAAGGGTCATCGTCATCAGCATAGTATCCAGTGCAGTTTTTAGGGCTTGGAAACTCAATTTTTCAAAGCAAATATTCTAGTCATTTATCTACATGTTGAGTTGAGGCCACGCTCTCCCAATGTATATTGACCCTCAAGAAGCAAAAAAACCCAAACTTCTGACGAAAAATGGTTATTGAAAGGACTCATCTCGGGGCTTGTTTCTGCGGTTTTAGTAATGCTACAAAGTAAAAGTGAAATAGGCAAATGCTGACTCAAATGTGCTAATGTGAAGCAGGTGTCAATATCACAAAGATTGCCTTATTCAGAATATTTCCAGATTTGCTTCCCTGAAATCGCATTGGATGCTTTTAAGCTGTGGTATGGTATGCAAATGACATGTCCACCTCTAACACAAACATTACATGACTCACCTGCGTGCTTGTTCTGTTAAGTAACCCTTCACAACGGAGATTAACAAAATGCCCCCTTTAGCTATAATCTTAGAGTTAGAGGATTGGAACAGTTAAACAATTACAGTGTTGAGATTGACTTTTACAATGTAAATTCATTTGCAGTAAACGTTGCAAAATATTTGATTGCGAGACGTCAGAGGTTGCAATTGTACCGCCTCCCCAACACGAAAATGGCGAAAGTGGTGGTTTAGCCGACTGGTAAAAACTCACTTCGATGGTTTGTTTCGAGTAATATACAAGACAGGTTAAAAGCTAAACACCTCACTCTGATTAAAAAAAATATGGCCGCCCCTCCCCCTGACCTCTGACGCTTTTGATTATATAAAGTCCAATTTCAATGCGCATAAACATTAAATCAAATTGGGCTCACCCTACTCTGCTAAAGTCACCTACGTATACCTATAGCTACTTCTTTCCCATGGATCCAGGCATTGTTATGAATGACAACTGCACATGTATAAGTATTTATAGTTCAGTTATACTACCAAAATTTGATCGAATTTCGGTGTGAGGTATACTCTACACTAACGTAACGTTGTGACACACACACACACAGTTGAAAAGTATTTTGCCCAGATTTCCAAACAGGCATCGAGCAGCTTTTTGTATTAGTTAGATAATTTCTTTGCCTCAAAATCTCACCTGTTGAGCTGTTACCTTGTCGCAAGGAACTTGCTTTCCACAAACGGATACGTCCTCGCACCGGTTCGTCTTGATTTTGGACTGCGCAACGCCCAGGTATGGCAACGTTAGGCCACAGCAAGTAAATTTTATGGATGACATCCTCCGCAGACTCCAAATCTAATGCGAGCGGGTGAAAATAAAAACAAGGCGGGCCGAAAAAAACAAGATTTTGATTCACTGGGAACATCACAATACACAGCCAGCGTCACATACTCGTATTACTGCATTTAAGTAAGAAACAAAACATTAAATCAGAGCCTTTTCTTCATAGTTATTTGCCATCCACCTTCCGGCATGGCAACAGACATCTTTGCCCATTTTCGGCATGTTGATCACTGTCAGAAGGCACCAAAATTCCTCCCCCCCCCCAAATCAGGCAAAAATTTATGCGCGCGCTGATGTCATAAAAAATTACTTGCTGTGGCCTTGCATTGGTTACAGAGTTGTTGAGATTTATTGTCACGCCATTTCTACGGGTACAAGTACTCGTGAACTTTGAACACTCAAACAAACCTGAACGCGCGGACAAAGGTTGCAGGTTTATTTGTAACAGTCACGGGCATGACTACACATAGCTATATAGTATGAAAAAGACGTTTATATTACTGTTACTGCCATTTCGTAGAACATTTCAAACTTGAAGCCTTCGAAATAGCCCCATGTCTAAGCAGGGAGCACGGGACGACCTACTGTTCCTCTTTCGTCCGATAGGTGGCGCATTTGCACTATACAACAGGTGCATACGTCCTGTGCCAACATTCTTTGTACAGAAAATACAGATTTTATTAGTTGCCAATTTCTGTTCGTTATTGGAATAATCGTGCGATCCAGCAATTACAATGGTAGGGAAGAGACTTTGACTTGACTTTGACTTTATTAGGATCCACATTTAGCGTACAAACTGTAGCTATTCTTCCTGTGATCCATTCTGACATGTACACACATACAACACACAGGGAATATATTAAACATAAACTAGCATTAATAAAGATACTAACACACAGCTTCTATATATATCATTACAAGGATTCTATACATCATTAGATCATTACAACTTCATCTCGTTCCAGGCATTAGCCATCCTGTACAGAAATATCTTTTTCTGGGCATTCGTTCAGGGTTTAGGAAGGCGGACAGTCCGTGAGTCCGATGGTATTGTACCCAAGTGACTGTAATGTGTTCTTATGCAGGGAAACAGGTTGTCTTTCATTCATTATTCTACTGAAAGTCCTCAGTCCTTTCTGATGGATCCTGTCTTTCACTGTTTGCCATCCTAGCATCTTCAGCATCCTGTCCTTGCTTGTGTACCTGTCACATCCCAGGGCGAGCCTGGCTGCTCTGTTGACTGGAATACTATTCTTATTCTTCAGTATATGATTCTAAAACAAAAGTAAGAATGCACCTGTAACGTTGTCACATTCGTCATAAGTCGTTGGACGATTTTTTATGCATTTTTTTTAAATTGTGAAGCAGGCTGTGACAGAACCAACCGCTGAAGCTACTTGAGACGAATGAGTGAGTGAATGAGTAAATGAGTGAGTGAGTGAGTGAATGAATGAGTGAATGATTGAGTGAATGAGTTAGCAAATGAGTGTGTGTGTGTGAGTGGATGAGTTAGTGAGTGAGTTAGCGAATGAGTGAGTTAGTGAGTGAATGAGTTAGGAACTGAGTGAGCGAATGAGTGAGTGAGTGGGTGAGTGAGCGAATGAGTGAGAGAGTGAGTGAGTTAGTAGGCGACCATTAGACGTTCACTATTTCCAAGAAGCCCCGTATGCGGCACAGTTCTAGGTACAGTACCTCCGGGTCACCTGTAATTGAGATTCTGTCATACTTAATTACCCAAATTATGTCCGATTGGTACTCTTCTTATAATGGATGTATTCATGGTTTTCTGCGTCCCAATTTTGCCTTGCCTGAAGGACGACAGCATTGGATTGACGCCCCTGGTAATGGATATACTCACAAACGTTGCATTTAAAGGCCGGAAATTCCATGTCACTTTGTTATAGAATGTAGATTAAATAGTAAAGAGGGAAATGATCTGTATAGGCTTGTACAAAACTTATTTCCTTACTTCATACACTTGAGCAGTGTAGAAAAGTTCATATTCCTCATGCAACTAGACAAACCTTCCATCGAAAAACATATCTGTTCCTTTATCTCTACTATAACTGAAAAGCGAGGAGAAGTTGAATTTATGTAAGGATACCTAGTTTTATTTTGTATATATCTTTTCATTATGTTTTTTGCTTATCCCAGTGTGGCAAAAATGTGCAATAAAGGTCGTCATTCATACATTAATAACCTTTGCCAAGAAGGTTACGTTTTTAGAGGCGTGCGTGTGTGCGTGTGTGTGTGTCTGTCTGTCTGTCTGTCTGTAAACACGATAACTCGAGAAGGCTTAGATGGATTGTATTGATATTTAGTAGGTAGGTAGGTCTTCTTGAGTTCTCGAAAGTATTAGATTTTGGTCCCCCTAGCCACTTGTTATGGTGCTGCAGCTGAGACTTGCGTTTTTTATATCTGATGCTCTAGTTTTGTTAATGTCCACAATTATACTTCTACATCTTCTGCATTTTACAGTTTGTAGTCTGCATTCTGCAACTTACACAAAATACTTGCGAACACACATACGTGCACACACACACACGCACACACACGCGCGCGCACGCACACACGCACACACTACAATAAAATACAAGACAATAATTTTTTTTCATTTAACATATTTATTTGTTCATTCTTTCAGACTAATATACAAAAGTGAGATACAAATCTTAAAAATATTTTCTTCGGCAAGATGTGCAAGTTTACCAGTCAACAACGCCGACGAACGCGTTCACACAATAGTCAACAACGCGAACGAACGCGTTCACACAATAGTCAACAACGCGAACGAACGCGTTCACACAAGAGTCAAACAACGTTACCGAACGCGTTCACACAATAGTCAACGACGCGAACGAACGCGTTTACACAATAAATATCTCCCTGTTCCTTGTTGGAAAAACTTAGGAACAGGGGTGCTACATACGTACATGGCTTTTAAGGCGTGGTCATGGACAGTCGGAGTATCTTAGTAATTATGAAGTCGTAACATTCTTTCCAAACAAATGTTATATCGACAAAGTTGACTGCAAAGCACAGAGTATCACACAAATTGTTAGTGTAATTATTTGTTTGTTTGTTTGTTTTCTTTTACTTGCTAGTGGTCCAGATTTTTCGAAACCATAGGGCTAAAATGTCACATCCGAAGGGTGGTCAGCTGACATCTACACCACGTTCTGATTGGTTACTTTCCCTTATGTATTGCACATGCGCACATGCGTAAAGGTGCCTGACATAGAAACGTAAAATATCGATATGACAATATGTCATGAAATCATATTTCGCGACACCTGTATGCAGCAAAGATATACAAACATTGCTCAAAAAAGTCTTAATAATCTCAACGAAATCATATCATCTCAAAACAATAAAACTCGATCATCAATTATTAATAAAACCGTTCGGGAGATGTGATATTATATAGTTATGTCTTCCCTTAAGTGCACGACATGGTTACTTGCTTCCTGTTAAGACTGAAGGTACGCCTGTAGGAGTTATAATCTGTCTTAAGGCACATCGGATTCGAAAAGTCGACTGCAAGTGTGGCGAATTTCAACATTGGCATTTTTTTAGCCTGGGAAAAATCGCTATTACAAACACGAGGGAATAATACAAAGTGCACAAGACATTTCAGCTACGTTTCCTGAACTATTGTCACAGGATGAACAAAAGAAATTCCTCACTAAGAGAGAATCTTTTGTGACATCCTGCGATGTTTTTTTGTTTTCACTGATTGCGTCCAGTGACAGTATCTAAAGTCTACATGTCATTTAAGGTGCAAAATATACATTCAGGTACTTCATATACATACATTCAACGACTCAAAGGACTTATATAAGAAATAACTACTGCCTGGTGAAGAGCATTCGGATATGTATAGGTGTTTTGGGGCATGTCCACCGTACTGTACTTAAAGTTTGCATAGAGTAACACTACCTACTTATAAAATATCAAGTACATCAAAAACTACAAACAAGTGTCGGCTGTAGTTGGTTCTGTGGGTCACAGCCGACATTAAAGCTGGTTTTGCTTCAAAATCAGTTGGCTTAATCGCCACTAGACATGATTGTCTGTCACATTATATATCACACTATAATATATATAATCATTGACTCTAATTCGCACAGTGAGGAAGCTATACCTCTGCTTACCTCTTGTATATACTACATCCATGATTGTCCTTATGCGATTCGATATCTACAAAAATCACACTAGTTAGTACAACGTTCTTTGATTTGTTTCCAAAAGTTCCCCATGTTTAAGTGGGATATCAGTATCAATGGCTTTGAAGAAAGTTGTTTTTTGGGTTGAAAATGTAACACAGAAAACTGTAACACTATGGTTGCTTACACTACAGTGCTGGGACTAGCTCTAAAGGCGCTAGTTCGATCGGATGGTTCCCCAAGAGTTGTCTGTTCTTCTCCAAGAGAGCCTTTTGAGCGCACTCGTGAGAGAGGAAGGTGACGATGGCTTCTCCCGTGGGTCGTCCCAGCACGTCCACAAGCATCTGTACGTACTCAGGAGGCACCTGAGGGGGTTACAGAAACACGTTAAAAAAGTCAGCACCACAGTTACCTGTATAACCCCCACCATGCCCTTCTCAATGAGGAGGATAGGAGTCCTCCCAGAAATTCTTAGGGGAGAGGTGCTCCCTAATCGGTTGATGAAAAATCAGCATATTATAATAAATACTAAGAGAAAACCCTAAATTTGAACATTTTGGGAGTGGTGCAAGGATTTTGGGGAATGGTGTAGCACCCTTGCTTGGGAAGAGCCCATTTCGTGATATTTTTTGGAAAATTTCGTGTCCAATTTTTGTGTGTTGGGAAATTAATTACGGTACGAATCTGTATCAGAATTTACCTTTTTTTCTGATACACCAACAGGTATAGGAAATGCAGAGGAGAACGCAATATTAGGGCTGATTTTTACAATCCAATTTGTGACGTCACCAATATGGCGGAAGGGCGTGGGTTGACTAAGGGACATGTGATCCAGTAATGAGATTGAATGGGTAATCCCTCCTGACATTTCTATGTTGAACAGTCCAATAACATGTTGTCAGGTCCATAAATGATCGATTTCCTAATACCAGAACATCTGTCTCCTTCGCCAACGCACGAAAGGGCCCAGACATGTATAAAACTGCTGCAGTCGATTCAATTACAATCTTTCACAGACACCCCCTTTGGGACACATACGCACTTAGTGGTTACTTTATACCGTCCTCCTTAAAACTTCAACAATAGAAACGTACTCAACAAAGCTATTTACTTACATATACACATGTAAACATAGTAAGGGCAAGGTCACATATGTCGTGCAATCAATCGCCTTACGATCGGGAACTGAAGCCATTCTTGTCTTGGGATGGTTGTACATAGGTCGTGCAAAATTCAGTCTTGTTGCGAAAAAGGCTACCTATAGCTAAGACTCTATCATAAGATCCTCGTCGATGTTTGGTTCTGGCACAACCTGCTTGAAAATTCTTCGGCATCGAAATCGCTACGACGACCTAGGACAATCGTGCGACGACCTAGGACAATCGTACGACGACCTAGGACAATCGTACGACGACATAGGACAATCGTACGACGACATAGGACAATCGTACGACGACCCACGACAAGTGACCGATGCAATGACTGTACCCAATCAACTGCAAACCAACGTAAATATATACACATATAGGGTTGCGAGAACACTGCACGCAAGGGAGAGGGGGTTAGTGCGAGGGTAGGACGGTGCTAAATGTTAATGAAACTCCGTATACTTACCAACCTGATAACCTCCGAAGAAGTTGACTACGTCAGGGACTCCAGCGTTGAACGGTATCCCCCGCACGCGTAGCACGGGTGAGGGTGGCGGGTAGTAGCCGACGCTGGTCGGGGAGACGGGCGGGCTGGGGAAGTAGTACTGCGGGTACATGGCGGGAGGGTAGCCTGCTGCCGCCGCCGCCGCTGCTGCTGCCGCCGCCGCCGAGGTGTAGTAAGGTGAGGTGGCGGCGGCCGGGCTCGGGATCCCCCGCGGGCTCTGCATCATTCCCTGCGGGTGGATGTGCATCTGCGGCACCTGCACCTGCGGTGGGTACCCCGGGTACTGGTACTGGTTCGCCGCTGCCACTGCGGCTGCCGCTGCCGCCGCTGCCGGTCCCGAGGCCGTGGCTGGAGAGACAGAAACATGAGACAACTCGGTCAGGAAACAAGCGACTACAACATCGTACCAATGTGCACACAGTCTGTATAAAACGTGGACACCTGAAAAGCGGTGATAAACTAAAGGGAAAGCACTGTGAATATACCATATAGACTTTGGCACCATGAAAGCAAAGATACATACACATGTGGTTATGTTAACGATTGCCTTGTCAAGCTTCTGGTCAGTGCCTACTCATGGCCTTGCCCGGGCACCAGGCTAACGTCAGGTCGCTGTTCTAGTTTTCTTCTTTCTTTCTTTAGCAAATAATGTATTACACAGCCGACCCAACTGACAGCCTGATCACCTGAGCAGCCCATGCCCTACATTACATGAAGCAAGCAATGAGAGAAGTGGATCAGGATGGGCCAATCACAATCCCGTGCTGTTAACCACCAATCAAAATCCGCCTCCGTGCTGAGTGAACAACCAACCAACTTCCCGGCATTCCACAGTTCACTCTTTTTTGTTTTCTTTTTAAAAGAGTGCGGTCTCACTGCAACCGTAACTCCCATCATCCCCTGTCCCTACTGGCCAATAACTCACACCTCATTGGTCAGTTCGTTCGCCGTGCTACCAATGGAGGCTGTCGTAACATCATCAGGTGTCAATATGTCTTACACAGTCTCACAGGGTGCTTCGAGCTATCGTATTGCGGAGGAAAACGGCCCAGAGGCCCCAAAGAACTGTAAACAAAGTGTGGTAGTACGTGGTAGCAACATCATATCAGGTTTTTTGCGTGGTAAAAATCGTCCCCCGATGAACAGCAACCGCATGCGCCTCCTTGACACCCCAAGCCGGTGACACAGTCTACTACACTCAAGCCTTAGAACTTATCACCCGCGGAAACAACAAACAGTATGACCACGTCATGCCTTGACCACCAAAATGATAATGTATATACCTCCCCTTGCACCACATAACAGTCCCCAAAAAACCCCATGGTCAAGACCGACATACATACAGACAGCACATACCCCTGATACCAATCCTCACATTGCTGCTTTGCCGTAGCTTTAAAGTTTTCAACATTGAGCATGCAGCTTCCATTTGCATTGGTACACTGGCAGTCTACCCTGCCCCTATGGAAATGAAAACAATAAGTACAGTTTTAAAATTCATAGGATGAGAAAACGGACCCGTCATTTGCTGGCCCAGGTAGTCACACATTTGGGCATCGAGTAGGACTGGAGCTTCTGCTGGATACACGGCTGTACGGAGGAGATAAGAAATTATAACATCTTCAAGCAGGCAGTTGGCAGGTAACATCCTTCAACATGGCGACACTGTACTGGTCACACCTTGCGTATCGTGGATACTAGCAATGATGAATACTAGTACACCGAGCGCAAGGATATCTTTTTAACTTTACAGAGCTTGAAATTAAATGTGTGTGGATTACTACACATATATATTGAATACTAGTACGTTACATCCACTTGATAGACTTTTATACAACTTTTATTCCCACTACTGCTAGACAGTATCATATGCAAATATCAGCTATACTTCCAGTTAAACAATGTATATCAAGTCCATGGGATTATGTATGTATGGTCTTACAGTATATGGGACTTGATCCGTTTGATAATGTTATATATGTATAATATATATGTCTGTATGTATGTATGAGCATAGCATCCCATCACCAGCACACAAGTTAGCCGCTCACCACAAACAGAACTACAAGCTATGCCTAGACAAAGACGTTACGTTAATGCTCATTAAAAGATAGAGTAAAAAAAGCATTAGGTTATATGGTTAGTTGGGAAACTGCAAAAAATTGATATTCTGTTAGTGTTAGTCGTTAGTTTATTTGTTATATGTACAAATACATGCACAACACAGCAATTCTACGAAAGCGCGTTCGTAGGTTAGCTACAGAAGAAATGTTGACGTTAGTTAGTATTAAGGCCACAGGATACTACTGAGAGAGAACGTTTGCCCAGAGTCAGGTGGGAGTGCATGATATAAGTGCAGAAGCTGTGTTCCGTGTTGGCGGTACTTACGAGGCGAGACGATGCCGTTCTTGTTCAGCTGACCCCCCATCAGGACGAAGTTCATCTCGTCCCCAGAGCACTGGAAGACCTCGATGTAACGGTCGCCCATGTACTGGCGGTGGCACTTCTCGGCAGCCTGGCGCGCGGCCTCGGGGGAGTACATCTGGATAAAACAGTCACCGGATGGCTTGCCCTGGAAAATACAACGTCATCTTTCATAAACAGGTTGCCTAATTACATCAAGCTTCTAGCGCCCTCTCATTGGTGGATGGAGAAGGCCCAATCAGCATCTGACTGTTCCTTATGGAACTGTCGTAATGTGTCAGTGGATCTCATACTTAGTATGTGGTGCAATAAACATCAATATATAACTTTATTTTGCAAAATGATGCCCGAAGGCTAATTGCTTGTACAATCAAGTATATAAATATAATACAATAAATATACATGGCCTTGTAAAACAGGCTATTGAAACTGGCACCCAAGAAGATTATAAAACATGAGCAAGGATACTCAATGTCAACAATTGTGGGAAGAGTTGTCACAGCTAGATACTAGTATTATATTTTCCATCACGAAGCAATAAAATGATGAATAGTTATCTCTATTGAACTACATCTTCGTGAGCATGAGACGACTTCAGTTGAATAAGAGGGTAGGTGGAAGTCACCCTGGGTTTTCTCGTACTGGATTAGAAATGATACCCGTAACTTCTCATCCTATTAAGGTTTCAATAATGTATGAAGTTCTCGCTGAGATAAAGGTCTCCCAATATGAAGTATACCTATCGTTCTGAACAATGGATACATGGTGTCAGCGGTGGGATTGCGAATATCATATGCTGTATCGCCAGCGGGCATGGACTACTGTAGTGTAAAACGCGATAATTACCGTTGAGTTGAGCACCATATGGATCCCGTGGTCTCGGACGTACACGGCGAAGTCTCCCAGGAACGCCAGGACGTCATCGTGGGTTGCTTGGTAGGGCAGTCCGCGCATGCGCACGCAGTCCCGGATGGACCCACAGGTGATGGCCTGCTGAGGCAGCATGGGTATCATGGTGGGGGTGGTGGGGATGAGCGGGAACTGCTGGTAACGGTTCCACACCTGAAGAAATTGAAAAAAAATAGATATATTTCATCCATACCATGTTATGGACTGAAATATAAAAACAGATCCCAAATGTACATTATTGCCTGAAAGTGGCCAAAGAAACAAAACAATTTCGAACAAGTCTGTATCGAGAAAAACAGTCTCGGCGTATTTGGCAACTCTACCTCCATGCCAAATTTCATGTCATCTGGCCCAAAAATTAAGAAATTGAATCCATTTAACGAAATGGCAGGAGGAGGAGAAGAAGAAGAAACACGAGGGAAAACAATGTGTCTTCACCACACCACTACGTGGTGTTGGTGACTATAAAAACGAGGAAATGTCAACAGCTAGGAACAATGGACAGGCGGTTCTTTATCCAAAAAGAAGCGAGGGGACCCAAAACTTACGTCACTTTTTCACAAAGGCTATCTACCATCCAAAATTCGTGACCTTATAGCATATCCAGATCGCAATATATAAAAACCGTGTAATCTTGCAGCCTCTTAGCGAAAAAGAAACACGACAAAGCCCGTACAAATTGTACCAGAGCCGCTCAACTTGAAAGGAAGCACGCACAGAAAATGTCCCAACATGTTTTCCAAAAATACTTGGGCGGTGAAAGAATACTATTCCTGTTCCAATAACAGCTGTTTGGATATTCTATAACGGAATTCTATATCCTGGTTTAGCACATCCAGACTGAGCACGCTATTGTACATTAAAGCAGCTACGCCTAGTTCGGGCCTGCTCAATGCAGTGTTTGTCTAAACATCTTTGACAAGGCGTCAAACTTATACTAGGATTTTGTATCAATCTTATGTGAGCTTGTTATTTTTGAAAATAAAGTTAAATGTTCCTTGCCTATCTCTGTAATTCCATAGTTGTTAGATATATTGTGAAATACGCAAATTATTCTGAATGAGAGAAAAAGGCTAGGTGTCTATCTAACGTTTTGCAAATAATGTCAGTCTTAGGTCACAAACAGAGGCACATACATGTTCAATTCAGAGTGCTATACAATTGTATTTAAGATCCCTTGAGCTCAAATAAAAACGAAGCAGTCCTATCTAATGCAAGGCGTTTAAAGCAACATCTACTTTCGTTTCGACTTTCTACTGGACGAAAAGGCCTTCCAAAGGAAGAAACGGCTCCTTACGTACTATTTTTTAAAGATTACAATCAGTTAAAATTACTAATTGAGTGCCAAACGACAAAAGGTTTTGTACAATGCTTTCGGAAAATCTACAAAAATGTTTTGTTCAATGCTTTCGGAAAATCTACAAAATGCGCGCGAACGACAATCGGCGTTATGCTTTAGTACGGCCTCTCGCACACCTGGTAACGTCACAATGGCGGCCGATTCTTGCGTGGACTGTCGGTTTGAATTACCGGGAGCCGTGACAATAATACACCGCGCTCTCACACGTCAAAAGAGACCCCGCAGAAAAAAAGGCAGAGATCTATTCGGTCATTTCCACCGTAAAAGAGCGGACCACAAAAGAAACATAAACATCCGGAAAAACACTGTATTGTAAACATGGGAAGGTTTCATGGCACGATCATTGTTGAGTATTGATTGTGTACATAAATACTGCATGCGTTCTAAACGGGCAATTACCTATACATGCATGGAGTAAAAGCGCTGTGTTGTCTATTGTGTGTGAATGCGGGCTAATTACACCGAGCACTTAAGCACAAGAACAGATCCACTCTTCCGAACCAAAACAGGTACATCGCCGCTTAGCTTCAGCATCATCACCCAGCTGATGAAATATAGATATACATGGGTCTAAAGGGAGCGTTATAAAAATTTTATCTTGGTCACATCTACTGCCACGAAACGAACTTCGCCATTTTCGTATAACCTAGTGAGCACATTTATTTTACATCTGCAACCTGAACTCCTAGCAAAAACGTACTGGTTTCACGTCTTTGATGAATTCCCAGAGAGGAGTTGGACATAACCTAATATTGTCGGAATGCGCAGGTTACATGTGTAAAAGCAGTCATGACATGCATCCTCCTAATTACGAACATCACATCGCATCAGCCTAGGTCGTATAACCGTTTAGCCAACAATGGCATACCCAGGGTCGGAGCAGACCTTACGGGTCAGCCCATCATTTTAGTGTCGTGACAATATGTCTGGAACGGTGCTTGTCTTCAACCGGGAAAACGTTTTGAACAGTTCCCAAAGGCACAGGGAGAGAGATAGCGTTGTTCGAACTCGAAAAAATACACAAGATAGAGGGGCAATGAACTTTACATGTTACCTCTCAGAAAAATGTGTTTTCGTGTTTCATGTTTGCAGTATTGCAAGAATATTGCTTGTCGAAAAACGCGGTAATTACTTACGTCGCTACCTATACATGTTTTGACTCAATGGTATTCACTGATAGATCATTGATACAATCGTTTACTTGAACTAATTTTTCTGAAATATTTCTGAAGGACAAAAAACATATACATTCAGCTCAGGTATCATTGATCTCAACGGTAGTTTTCCTAGAGCTAAAACGATGTTTAAAATTCCCCCAACAATAGTCAATACCGTTTGTGTAGGTAGTGCCTGATACTCGCACATATAGCCATTGCTGAACCCGGTAAAATCCCACCCTTGTAATTCGTGCATGGGGAACAGCGACAATGGGAAGCGGGGCCTTACCTGCTGCACCTCGGCCGCCGTGCTCCTGAACAGCTCGATGTACCGCTTGCCCAGGGACTCCTTGTGCTTGGCTAGCGCGAGCTGGGCGTAAGCTTCGGTCTCGAACAACACGAAGGCGTCTCCCGTCGACCGTCCGTTGGCGTACCTCACGAACAGGATCCCTTTCTCTCCTCCGGCTACCGGGCAACTCTGGCCGAAGAAATTCAACTACACAACACGGAGATAGAGAGAAACACACACAGTTACACTCACGTAGTGTTGCTACACTGTAATGATATCTACTGGCGTTGTTTGCGTTTATATTGATCCTGTGAGCTGTCGTTATGATATATCCGGGCTTCTCATTGGTCGGGGAGGGAATTCGAATCGTCCAAAAGGTTAAATGACGCTAATTTTCCGTGAGAGGGGTAATGACGACGATTGTGAACAAGAAGGGAGGGAGGTCACGTGATGACCCCAGCTCATCTATCATCATTGAGGCCCATTCAATAATTGACACGGGGACACAAAGCGAGTGTGCATCATTTAGCAAACTCATCTATAGTCTTTTTCGAGCGTGTTTGGCGAAAATGTATTTACTATCGATTATCATAACCCATTTTCTCACTTATTATAGAGGTCTGTGTGAATGTGCCGTTTTCTTGGGTGGTTTTTAGTGATTTTAGGATTTTTTTTATAAAAAAATGATTTGAAGAGATCGATATGTATAGAAAGTCTCAAGTAATTAATTGACACGCAACTGAGACGTCTTCTTATCTTGTCCCCACGACATTCCAATCAATAACAAATTCCGGCAACTCAGGGAGTCGGAATGTGTGAAACTAAACTAAATCTAGCCTCAACCAGGCTTCGGGAAGTGGCTGGAAAGAGTAGAAATCGGCTAAATAGAGAGATAACATGCCGGGGGAGTTTGTCTGCTGGGAGAGAACATTTTGCCACACCGAAGCCTGGTAGAGGCTAAATGAAATCTACATTGCTGAAAGCCAATGGCTGTCATATATCAACTGGAATCTAAACTGCCTTCCCGGAATTTCCGGTAATCTTTTATTTCCCTGGAATTTTCTCCTGGAATGTCCAAAATTTCCAGACGGAAATCTACATTTATCCGTGCTTCTAGCTATCTCTGTATGTAAATGAAGTCAGCTTCCTGAAATAGCAACGTCGTCATTTTTCTTTGATTTTCATTTCTTTCAGTGTGACTGTACAGGAAATACGTGTCACTATCAGACAGTGCCCATATAAACAATATAGTACAGTTCAGTATTCTCGCTAACCGCTTTGGGTATCTCTACATTTCCGTCCAGTACGTTCCCTCGTTTTCTTTGATTTTCATTTCTTCCAGTGTGACTGTACAGGAAATACGTTGTCACTACGACATAGTGCCCATGAACAATATCGTACAGTTCAATTTTCGCCTAACCGCTTCGGTATCTCCGTCCAGTGCATTTCCCCATTTGATTTGATTTTAATTTCTTTCAGTACTAGTATGACTGTACAGGAAATACGTGTCACTATCAGTCAGTGCCCATAAAGAATATTGTAAAATTCAATTTTTGGTATCTCTACATCTCCGTCCAGTGCCTTCCCTCGTTTTCTTTGATTTTCATTTCTTTCAGTTTTCAATTTTCGCCTAACCGCCTCGGTATCTCTACATTTCCGTCCAGTATGTTCCCTGGTGGACGATGGATTTATCCTCTATTGTTCCCGGAATTAAAAGACTTGGCTGACAGCGTGTCAGGTGGGATACAGAACCGATGACAGGCGCATTCAGAGAGGCAAGTTGATTGATGCGTAACAAAAGGTTAAACTGTTATTACCCCCCGAATGATATAGCACTACTGTTTCATTCTAAATCCTTTCTGATTTCCCCCAGGCCTTTAGCAACCAACAACAGAAGGTACACGTGCTGGAAGGGCTATTAGCTTTCCAATCGTTCAACAAAACATTGAAGATCTACATACAAAGTTGCTAAAGAATTCCAACAAAATTCTTTCTCACAACAACCAACGATACCTTATTTTATCGATGAATGGTTTTCTTTGGACAAGACACCACTTCGTCTCTTTATATTAACGTCTCTATACGATCGCACTCTTTTAAATGTCAGTATAACAGAATGAAATGAATGACTTAATCGTTAAACAGTCCCCATTGTAACGACGCTACAAAAGAAAATGACCTATCGTGTAGGTTCGGTGAATAGATTTGGGAATGGCTTTCTTTACTGAATCTAATCGAAAGACTTTTATAATCTAGCTTTATCCACAGGCCTGTCCTAGTCTTTGTTCCAAGACTTTATTCGCGTGCAATGTAGCATGAAACGTCGTCTGTCATTATTATCTTCTCACCTTTTCAATATTATAAAGAAACTAGAGGAAACCGATCACTTGTTATCTTAGCTACAGTCAAAACTGTCCAAGCCGGCTGTCCAGGGGAACAAAGAAAAGCGGACCCTACTCAGGGTGGTCACGGTCGCGTTGGCCAGGTGGTCACCTTGGACAGGTTGCTTAATGCTTGTGTCAATGGGGAAAATTTTTGGGACCGTGGACAGGTGGCCGACTTGAAGAGATGGTCTCCCTGGCAGGTTTGACTGTACTAGTATTGTATTGCACACCACCACATTTTTCGAAAAAGGATAGGGGCATATAGTTGGTGATTAACTACGGACTCCATGAAAAATAGTGTGAAATATACATTGATGGAGATCCTAACAAACAAACAAACAAACAAACTAATAAATAAATAAGAAATCTACACTTACAATATCAGCAGCAGTGGCAGTGTAGGGAAGACCACGCATGCGCACGATGACTTCTGCTGCGCTGTCCCTAAGGAACGCCGTGGCCTCGTTTGCGTTTCCTGCGTTGTCATGGCGACAGACAATAACGTTAGATTGAAATGAAGTTCAGTTAAAGGCATCCAATGCAGTTTTTATTGCTTCAAAACCCGATTTTCAGAGCCAATATTCTAGTCATTTATCTAAATACTAAGTTGAAACCACACTATCCCAATGTATATTGACTCTCATGGAGCAAAAATTTCTAAAATTCTGACGAAAACGGTTACTGAAAGGGCCCTGGGCTGATTTTAGGGTACCACCCAGAAAATAAAAGACTCATCTTGGGGCTTGTTTCTGCAGTTTTAAATGTCCAAAGTACTAAATGCTGACTCAAATGTGCTAATGTGAAGCAGTTTGTGCCAGTATCACAATGATTGCCTTATTCAGAATATTCCAGTTTTGCTGCCCTGATATTGCATTGCATGCCACATGAAGGTCAAAAGTGGTTTTGATATCTTCCAGAGACCAGAGAAAGTCGATGAAAAATCGCTTCAACAATGTTGTCTGCTCTTTCGTGTTCGTGCTTCTTCGGAAAATCGTGTCAGAAACAAAACAAAGGGGACGTCATTATGATTGACAGTTCTGCAGACAATTTTTTCAGGGCCCTGGCAGACGACCTCATCTTCGCTGGTAAGGCCATGTTGATTTGATTATATGGATGACATCCGCGCGCGCATGAATTTTCGTCCGTTTCCAAACAAAAACGTTTTCAACCATACTGTAAATCGTACAAAACAGTTGCAAAATGAGCAAATATATACCGTAGGTTGAAAAAATATTGGAGAACGATAGAAATATCGTAGAAAGCTAAAATCAAACGAAAATGTACAGAAATGAATTTGAAGAGTAGATTATTCGCCATACCATACTCTGTGTCATTTTTTCAACCTTCAAAACCACGCAGATTTCATAATGAAAGCAACTTTTTTTGCCAATTTTTTTTTCATTCGCACGCTCGCATCAGTTTTGAGGTTCCTGAGGATGTCATCCATATAATCAAATCAACATGGCCTAACGACTACAAACAAAAGACGGGCTCAAGTTTCAGACGTAAGGACATTGACACCGGCTGTCCAAATTCACTTTCCAAGGATCAAATAATTACTGCAATTACATTCTTTAGCGTCTTCCATTTTAGTTGAAAAGATTTACAAAGCGCAGACATTTCGTCATTTTTCTTCAGTTTTTCTTTTGTCTCATTTGTCAATAGATAAATATCAAACACAGATGTTTGGCTTTGGTCCAAAGTATGACTATGAGTCACAGATTGTGACGCCGGTCTCCGCGCTAAGAAAAATCAGGTTTAGCAACTTTTCTCGACTGAAGGACGGGACACCTGCGATTTCAGAAAGCCCGGCCAGGTATGAACAGACACTCTCCAAGCAGAGGTTTGGGTTTTGGCTTATTATGGCGTGTTTTTAGGCTTTTTTTAAATCGAGGTTTCCTTTTTTGCACTGGAATTAGCAACCAGTTGAGTTGGCGTAAATATTATGTGCAAAAAAGAAACCCGACAAAAAAGCATAAAAACACGCCAAAAATTAGCCATAATCCAAAACATTTGCTTGGGTTGGCGTAGAAAAATTCCAGTGCAAAAAGAAGATAAAAAAAAAAGCATAAAAACACGCCAAAAATCAGCCAAAATTCAAACCTCTGCTTGGAGAGTATGGACAGAAGCGTCAACCTCCTGGGCATAGAAGATAAGCTAGTCAGTTGTGCAAAATTGCCCATGGCATGGGCACGAAAACAATAGCTTCTTTTTATTCGTCCACAGATTTGAAAAAAAAATACTAGTACTCACCTCCAGCTACTTTCAAGAAGTCCTCTCCCGTGGCTTTGTAAACCTGCAATCAGTACAAAACTGGGTTAAAATCACAGATAAGGATGTTTGAAAAATACGACCACCAGTCACCCTCTGGACATTATGTTAGTTTTGTACACTAAGCGATCCAGAAAAATGCCACAGAAAAACTTCAAACCTTTACTATAACCGAAACATGTATTCATCAGCCTTGAAACATTGTGTGTACTAATCACCGTATACAGACAGGAGGACAATCATCAGTGTAGTTTTTTTATAATAGGGCTTGGAAACCCGCGATTTTTCAAAGCCAATATTCTAGTCATTTATCTACATGCGGAGTTGAAACCACACTGTCGCAATGTGTGTGGAGCCAAAATTCTCACGGAAAATGGTTACTGGAAGGGCCCTGGGCTGATTTTTAGGGTACCACCCAGAAAATGAAGGACTCATATTTGGGCTTGTTTCTGCTGTTTTAAAGGCCCAAAGTATGAAATACTGACTCAAAGATTGCCTTATTCAGAACATTTCCAATTTTGATGCCCTGAAATCGCATTGGATGCCTTTAAGATGACAATAAGACTATAGTAAAAGATTTTTTGCCGCCCTTACCTCTATGTATCTCTGGCCTATGTGGTGCTTATGTCTGAGTAGAGCGAGGTCTCTGTGTTCCTTAGAAGCGAACCTAACCAGAGCCTCCCCGTTTCTCCTTCCCTGAGGGTTCAAACAGACCGCAACTCCTCCTCTGTAAAAGGGAAAAGTGTCGAGTTAGTGGCTGATAGAGCACGTGCGCGCCTAGCGAGATTGTTAAGTACTGCAGGTATGTACTGCACGAACGCCACAGAAAAGACGTGCATATCGCCATACGTTATACCGTATGCAGGAAATCCAAGAGTTACCAGTAGGATAACTTCTAAACTCTCTGTGAAGATATATTTCATCATATCTAAGGGGTGCATTTATGAACCTTGGGCGAAGACGAAGCTATACAATGTATATAACATATCTGTGCACACAACACATGTCGGTAACATCATGCAGATACTAGTATCCAACCATGCAAGCACAAGAGCACACACCAGAAGTAATCCTCTTAAACCTTACCATCCCTTTTAACCGGTGGCAACCGTCCAAGTTAGTTTGAGGAGGTAAAAATATGGTCAGATAGAACTACATGGTTTCCATATACTAGCACTAGTATACGCGGCATGGTACAAGTTAGTAACATATACAGACAACTTGAACATCTGCCGAGAAAAGCATCTATTGTTCTTTCATCCCCTTCTTTCGCGTTTCTTATACCCCAGTAGCAAAGCCTACAGTCCCCCTTAGCTCGGTTGGATGGATATGACAATAAACTACGACAACAGTGACTTTCTCAACACCTGTTCTACACTGCTCTACGTGTAACTAGATATGTAACCCTCGCATGTAACGGTGGAGATCAACAGCTGTTTTGTTTTCTTTCAAGAAAAAGAGTTCGCATGTACAACATATTTTCTTCAAAAGGACTGCAAGAAATTAGATCTGAAGATTATTTCCTTAGTTTTAGATTTTCAGATAGAAAAGAAAAATTCGATAATCCTCGTACTATAAACTCCATCTGTTCTTACATTTACAACTGTATTAAGAAGCGAGAAGAAGCAGAACCTGTACATATGTAGTTTTACTATAGATATATTTTAGTCTACCATCGCTATTTGCCGTGACCTGTACTTAGTTCGCAATGAGCAAAAATGTACAATAAAGGTCTTTCTTTCATTCATTAAAGATAGAAATTTTACTCTTGTTGAATAAAGGACCAGAATGCTAGAATCTTTTCATTTAGAAAGGCTAAGGACAGTTTTTATAACTCGGAAGGAGTGAAGGAACACATAGTAGCAGTTTTGCACCACTGTACAAATGAAATGCTACTCAGCAATCTACAGAACTTGGTAGGCTCTATCTTTCATGTCCGAACAATTCTTATGTAACATTTTACTTAGAGGATCACCCGATATACACCCAGATACAAACTGTAACATTTTGACAATCACCCAAACTTACGTTATTGATACTAAACGGTTTGTATTAGATTAACTCTTACATAGCCTACAAAACATGTTCTTCCTTACCATTTATTGATCCATCTCTACCCATTTGCTGTTCTCTATTGTTTTTGTCTTGTTACTGCATACTTGTATGTTTGGTGGTGAGTTTAAAATTAGCTATAGCTAGAGTACCTCACCGCCATGCCTTGTATTGTCCAAGTTGAATTGTAAATAAAAAAAATACAAGTAAGAAGTTTGGAGACTTACTTGGTGATGTTGAGTCCTCTGAAGAACCTAGCGATGTCTTGGTCAGAAGACTGCCATGGAAGACCGCGCACGCGCAATATGGTATCGTCATCAATAAGCTCATTCTTTTGGCTGTTGGAAGACAAGAAAATGACAATGAAAAACTTATAAAATTTTACTTTTAAGCTTTGTAAATATCATTCCATGTGTCTGTATAGGACAAAATATGAATGTGTTAAGTTTGGATTTTATGTAGCCTCCGTAGCAGGCTTATAGAACTGGGGGTTTGGTGGTCTTCGGTTCCAAAAAGGCCGGCTATGCTGTCTATATGCAATCAGAAAATAGCACATAAAAGATCCCAAAGAACCTGAAGACCCCCAAAACCCCCAGATTTTGGCATGCTATGGAGGCTAGATTTCATGCAGCTTTCAATGGACATATTACACATTTTGCCTAGCCATTTTTTAAACCTTATCTACTTAACTTATCTAGTATTTGACCTTTAACGTTAACTTACACCAGCTCTTAAAATGTCAAAGTATCTCGTGGAATAACTCGTGCAGATAATTGACATTTAATCATCAAATGTAGCCAATGCCCAACGAGAAAAAAAAAACGTTCGACAACTTCTAGTCGACGGATGAAGACCCAGAGAGTAGGACTTACTATGTTCCCGGCTCGTACTTGTAGTCCACTGTTTCAGGATCCGTAAACTTGTGCCCTGTAATAACAAAAAACAAACAAACACACAAGTTAGAAACTGTCATATAAAAGATTCAACAGACGACTACTACTGTACTTCCTGATTTTTTCACTGTACTTTTATGTTCTCTGTTTTCACTGTACAATGAACTTATCATTACAGTTAACAAATAATTCCTGGGCTTTCTTTTTTTCTACACCTGTCGCCACAGTGAACATATAGTTCTGTGGACCATTTTTCTCAGACCGTGAAATTTTGCTACCGTGAACATAAAGTGAATTACAGTATCTCTCAGATGAAGGGGCACCAGTGCTTTTAGTCCGAACAATACAGGCTGATATAATTGGCGCTATAGGTTTGACAGGTAAGGCTTATTTATGCGGGGAGCCTCTGGCCATTCCTCACCCCTGCCCCGTGTTTAATGATGCCCCTATTGTCCCTGCTATCTCTCAAAAGGAAGACGCTTCGGGGCGAATTCCTTCGCCCTCAACACCTTCCCAAACATGACAAAAAACAACATCTTCTTGCCCTACTTTTTCCACCACAAACAATGCTGACCGGTGAAATGTTTTCAATGGCGATTCGCATTGGGTTTTAATTGGGCTTCTAAGAAGCTAGACGTCCACTTCGTATCTCTTAAGACCCGAGGCGTTAACGTATCTTAAAGGTGCCCAGCCTTTGGTGTGAAGGAGCTGATGATAATTCGATTATCTGGTCAACCTTAAGGGTCACTGTCGGTCATCTATGAAGACGAGACGTTGGAGCTAATGACTACAGAAGACTATTATGTAAAAATGTCCAAGCTACAGCGTGTTTTCCTTATTACCTAGTTAATACATTACAACTAACAATGTGTAAGATATATTTGATATGAGGGTAAAATATAATTATGAGCTTTTCATGAAGCTATTTAGGGCAATTGCAATTTCACTCCCTGAATATTTTTATGTTATGATATAGGATGGATTTACTTCACTGTGTAAAGAAATGACAAGAAAATTTACTTTCTATATTGTCCAAATCTTGGATAATAGACCCAAAACGCGTTGCTATTTGTAAGCTAAGAAGAGGTATTTTCCAAGGTAGCATATGTGAAATGATGAAAGGTAGAATGTTGGTTCTTACCTGATCCGATCAGCCTTTGGATGACCAGGCACATGGCTTGGCATTCGTCTACTGTACTCACGTCCAACCCAAGGTCTGTGGAAAAGTCTGGTCAAGGAACTCAACATATATCTTATAAGAAATTCACATTCTTAAAGTCACACCTGCGAGGACAGTTCTTGTTTTGTCCTAAGTCTGCTTCTTTGTAGCTTCCACCAGGCCTTTCTACGGGAATACGGATCGTAGAATTCGACAAAAAAGAGAGTAAAATTGGCCAAGGGGAGTCCGGGCCGCGGGGAGGTAGTTTCTTTCCTCCCTGCGCGGCCAGTCAAACCTACAAGGCGGCCAAACTCCCCTTGCAAATATTCTCCTATAGCCAGCGTAGGTAGTCTGGTAGAGAATAGCTTCTTTGCGATTTCTTAGACTTGAAAGTAATTTCTTAGACCTGAAAGTTGTTTAGTTGACACCTGTAAGAAAGAGTCCCAACATATCTTGGTTGACCTTTTTTGTGACTACCATGTCGTGATTTCCACGCGGCCATGCTGTTGGTGTAAACAGAGACACGGTTCCTGTTTTTGTCCTCAACCTTGGCGTTGCTCTGGGGTTTCCAACCGAGGAAGAAATACTCCACATTCTACGCGCTAGTCAAGTCAACCAAAACGCCAATGTATAAATTTATGAGACAAAATGCAATATCTACTAATAAAACAAACCTTTACATTCATTGCCTTCTACAGTAACAATGATTTTACGACTTTTTATACGATTATGGCACCTTTCTTCTGTACGTAGTGAAAATTTGTGGTAGATTTTTTTTGGTAGTTATGAAGCCAAACCTTCTAACAATGATTTTACGACTTTCTAGACGATTATGACACATTTTCTGTACGTAGTGAGATGGTAGATTTTGTTGTTGTCATGAAGCCAAGTCAAAAACCTGTCGCTAACGTATCTTAAAGGTTTTACGACTTCTAGAAGACTATGACACATTTTTGCTGTACGTAGTAAAATTTTGAGGTAGATTCTTTGTTGTTGTCATGAAGCTAAAATCACTTAAGTGACGAAGAGGAGCAGAGTCAAAAAACTGTCGCTAACGTATCTTAGAGGTTTTATGACTTTCTAGATGACTATAAGACGAAAAGATGCCAACAGACGACTATGACACCTTTTTTCTGTACATAGTGAAATTTTCAGGTTGATTTTTGTTTTTGTCATGAAGCCAAAACCACTTAAGTGAGGCAGCGGAGCGCGGAGTCAAAAACCTGTCGCCCCGGTTTGTGCGGGGGTCGCGGCCGGTGTCAGAACCCAGCCCCGAACCGCCGGTGTTGTCTTGTCTACCTGCGCAAGCTTTCTGCATGGATAACCGGGAAAATTATCCTCCTTTTGTTTCGGAGGCACCGATGGGTTTGCGAAGGGGCGTACTCCGGAATCTCCTGTCACCATGTAAATGTCAGGTGGGACCCGGGAGAATTTTTTATGGGGATTTAGACATCCATCCTTACTTTAGACAAAGTCAAGTTCTTGGGCGGTAAATCCTTGGATTACACAAAACACAAGAAGATTAACTTGAAAACTGAAAGTTTTTGTATACTAAAGAAAATCAAGGAGAGGTAAATTTGTCAGGTGGGACTTGGAAGGATTTTTCACGGGGATTTAGGAGGCCCATAGTTTCTTAAGACAAAGTCAAGTTCTTGGGCGGTAAATCCTTGGATTACACAGGACACAAGAAGATTGACTTGAGAACTGAAAGTGTTTGTATACTAAAGAAAATCAAGGAGAGGTAAAATTCCCTTACGTAGGTAGGACCATAAATTACCTTCTTACCGAGATAGGGGTTGAATATCTCTGTCAGCAGAACCAATCGAAAAAATCCGACAAAACACAGAAACTTTTGATGAATTATTAGACGATAATTTTTGGTTGATAAAAAGTTTTCACGAAAAATATTCTGACGAAAGCTGCCTCAGACAAGCTACTAGCAATGATGACAGGTGTAATTATGTTTACGGTTTAATGAACATCTGTAAAATAAATAAAAACAGATGACACAAATTCGTATAATCTTGGAGCAAAATTAAAGGCTATGTGATCCTGATTCGTTGAAATGTCACGTTTGATTTTTTCCACAATGTTTGTTTAAATTCCCAGCCTATAATTTTACCCATTATGATGGGACAAAATACCCTGGGGGTGTTGGCTTCAAATGCTATTATCTACAGTCGCTATAATGGCTTGCTACAGAGGCGCTTTTGTGTGCGAAGAGAATCAAGTCATTCACCAAGAACCCAGGGACGTTGTCTAAAAATCTGTGTTCTGTCAGTCAAGAAACTATCATGTCCAGGGGTCTACCCAAAAATTCTTAGGGAAAAGGTGCTCAATGAAAAAAATGAGCGAATTTTCATGAAAATGTTCAGAGAAAACCTTACATTTGAACATTTTGGGAGAGGTGCTAGGATTTTGGGAAGAGGGGGAGCACCCTTGCTTCATTGCTTGGTCAGATTGTGCTTAGAGCTTCGATGTAAGATCTACCTATATATAGTAAGTGAACCGTATTAGAATTGTCATAACAGTTGCGTAGGTAGTTTAGCCTACAGAAGTATCTATTTCCTGTCCTGTAGCGGCGCCCATCGCACGCACCTTACTGTGGAATCTGACCCAACCCACTAGAGCAACAATTACAAAGTCATACAGGTATAACCACACGTATAATCCACTCAGATTACGACACATCCTGACAAAACGACCGTGGTTTTAAATCAGAACCGTCCCGCCAGAGAGTAATTGTGTTAGGTGACCAGATTTTGAACTATTTTGGGATGCCGTTGTGTACAATTTGGGAGATTGCGTCACCAGCTTTGACAAGATATACTAGTCGCCATGTTGAAAAAGCCATGCTACTCAAAACGATCAATATATGAATGTTTTGAAAAATACTGTACACTACCTTCCACAAAACCATATCAAAGGCCATACTGCTAATTCTTAAAATAACACTGCCTGTTCAGAGCGCTACAATGCCTGATCTAGTCCGTCGTTTGCATGCTAATCCGGAATTGTTTCGGTTGAGGTCTCGGGTAAACAAACGGACAAGCCTCCGTGTAAACAGACGTCCCTCCATGTGACCGACCGATTGTAAACATGGACACAAAACACGGCGAATGCCAACTCTCACGTGAACGTATTTTTAGCCAGCCCTCCCCACAGAAAACTTCCAACACAACTAGGGGGATATACTCCTCCCATCTGTCGTTATCAAATACGTGCTAACTGTTTTATAGACTACTGGGGAGTTACTGGACCGAGCGTAAGACCAGAAGCCTGAACGAGGAATTCCGGAAGCACTGTGCTACAATATGTACGACATGCAATATGCAACACGGGCAGTTAATCAAACTACTAGCACACTGTCAACTCGATCAACCAACTGTTGCTTCAAACCGAGATTTCTACCGCATAGGCAAGTCACATGCGTCCCTTACGACATTAATAGGGATATCCTCTGAGGTATTTGGAAACTACGGAGCACAGATTATGTGGTATTCGGTGTGACGTGGTGTAATTCGCCGGATGGAGACTTGACTTGCATATCGCTAACACGACCGTGGGACCTTACCGGTTGAAAAGGGACCACGTTAGCATAAGAATGGAACGCGGAGCCCGGGTAAGTGTACACGAGGGCAAAGGCTTTCTGCTCCCCGCCTGGGCTTAGAGCGAGAAGGCGGGCGTGTAGCGTGTATAGTTCACGGTGATACAAACAGAGACAATGTTTAGGAGGTGAATCATACCGGTGTATCGGCGCGTGAACGAGAAAAGGATACGTTGTGCCATGTCCGCCACGGAGTCGATCGCCGGGGAGGTCGACTGGAATTTCCGAAACTCCCGTCTCAAGTCGAAGAAGGCGTAGAAGTAGTCGGGGAGGCTGATGCCCTTCTTGCAGGTCTCCGGGTGGAGGCACTGCCTCATGGCCTGCTGCCCGTCCACCACCAGACAGTACGGTGCCCCGACCCCGTTGGTGAGAGACTGGTGTAGCTGTGACACACACACAACAAGAGAGCATGTCAGACAACTTGTAACGTAAATAACGCCCCCTTCATGACAACACAACCAGAACGGGGATCAATATAGGCTTTCCCAGAACGTGATTTTTACTCCACACACGTCAAATGTCGAGAAAAACACCTAAATCCGGCCTCAGACTAGAATACACCAGGTGAGAGCTACCCTGGGTGACCCCGGCACTACGAAACCAGTACAGGCACGATCACATGTTGTGTAGGGGAGAGAGGGGGGACTGTTTGATCACCTGTTCTAAGACGGCTTGGATGGGCGCTCCGCCGGCAACGGCCTGCTCGTCCAGCCCGGTCCTCGACTTGGCCTCCTCGGAAAGTTCGCTGTGATCGGGTTTGACCACCAGACTCTGTACGGGGACCGACACCTGGGAGGTAGGGAGGGAAGAACAGGTATAAACACGCCGCCTATCTCGTCCCGGTGTTCCATCATCAAAACACGGATATAACACGACATGGGAGGGGGATTTTGTACTCACCGTGTTCGCTGTAGTGTCCACTACGGACCACAGCATGTGCAGAATCTCGCTCTCGTCCGATCCGAGCAGCTCTCCGGCCGCTTGACCGGCCGTGGTGCAGGACAGGACCACTAGGTTACTGTAAGAGCCCGCCATCATTCCAATCTACCAAGTCCACTCAAGCACGACCGCTGAACCTCTGACCGCGGGTGCTGCTCACGCCAGCATATATAACCCAACTCCGCTTGGCGTGCAAATCATATGCAAATCGGGCCGGTCGCGAGTTGTCGATACCGCCCCATGTACCGCATTGTTTCCTAATGCCTCCCATTCATTGATTGGCTTTTAACCCGGGGGACGTGGCACAGGAAACCGGCACAACCAGTTCGAGATGCGCGCGCAGGTTTTTTCTTTTTTTTTTGTATCAACAGACAAAAAAGTGTGGAGAGTAACACATGCAGTTACTACGTACGAATAATAAAAGAGGCCGTGCTCTTTCCCAAATCCCACCGTGGATTTCTGTACAAACATCGGAAAACCGCGTGGCAGAAACCTTATAAGTAAGTTTACAAAATTGCAAACGGGCGGTTTTCTTTTCTTTAAATGGTGGTTTGGTGTACGTTGGTGACGGCTATGAAGGTGTGGTGGCGAGCCGTAGCAAATGTTGGACTGCTTTGTTCTTCAAGTGTTTAAGGGTCACTTGGTGAATGAAACTCCCGTTGCCCAAATCTGGCCTGGCGGTTCGGTAATTATGAGAGCTGCAGGCACCGCCCATGGGCTACCTGACTCACTCCCTGACAGCGATTCATCAAAAATAATTACCGTGTGGGAAGAACTACCTGGACGGTGGAATGTCAGACGACTTTTTGAAGCCCCAAAATGCACGAGAAAAAATTGACTCGTGGCATTCAATATGGCGATTTTTTTCCTCATAACACAAGAGTTGGACGTAGACGATCAACATGCTAGACAAGTTGTCAGACAAGTACATCGGTCAAAATCATCTAAATTGTCGGTAGAGTAGTCTGTGCCTAATCCGTATGGCTTCTGAGGGAAAACAGAAACAGTTTTTTTTCATGGAAATTTTCACAGACACTATGGGGACAATGTAGTTTGTTGTGTTTATCGCAGTCAAGCCGTTTTGGCGTCAGAACTGGTCGGACCCAAACACCTGCAACACAGGGCCCAAGTCCGCCTGGACAGAACAAAAGAATGGGGGGACTTAATGCATGACAGGACGGGGCGAACATCGCACATTCCGGGCGAATCTTCCCTTCCAGAACGTCGCCATTTTGACGACAACATAACACTGCCATTTTCAACAACTTCCACTCAAGAAAAAACAACCACTGTTTCACGTTTTGAAGATTATTTCAACGTTTTCTTGCTCATTTTTGCCAACAGAAGGAAGAACACTATGGAAAGGAAATCTTGTAGTTTTTTTTTTTGGCTTAATGTAGTGTACCAACACGGAAGTCTGCCCCCTTACCCAAACCCGGAATCGTACACACCGTCTGGTTGTTTGTTGTTGTTTTCGGGGCGAAAGTAACAGTAGAGTTATTTGATTTGCACCTAGCGGGGAGGCCCTCCTCTCGTAATTGGCGGGCGGAGTGAAGTCAGTTTACACCCGCTTGAACAATACAAACTCGCCGGCGTTACGTGTTCAACCACCACCTTTTGTCGGCCGGGGTCGCCCCCGGTTTTGTTTGCCGAGTGTTCTCCGGTTTCCCCCTCTTCAGAGGTGCCCAGTACTCGAGTGGTTCGGGACACCCTGTTTTTTGTCAACAAAACATGGGGGACACGTGTGTGACGCCTGTTGACATTGAAATCCACACGCCGCGATTATTTCAAAGCCCACCCCTTTTCACAATCAATGCATCTATACGACACAATCTTCTCGCTACGCATATACTTTCTTGACACAACAAAAAGTACAGGGACTCTTGTATGGTCCTCTACAACTAAAGATCTAACAAAGCTGAATATCACAGAGAAGTTGGAACTACAGGATGTGTGCTTAGTACTTTATTTAACTCTTGTCCCGCTGGAAATCTTTTTATAATGAATGAAAGACCTAGGCCTTTATTGTACATTTTTGCTCATTGCTAACTAAGCACAGGTCACCACAAATAGCGATGGTAGACTAAAATATATCTATAGTAAAACTACGTATGTACAGGTTCTGCTTCTTCTCGCTTCTTAAAACAGTTGTAAATGTAAGAACAGATGGAGCTTATAGTACGAGGATTATCGAGTTTCATGAGGAATGTGAATTTTTCTTTTCTGTCTAAAAATCTAAAACCAGGGAAATAATCTTGTATACGATTGAAGAGAATCTTTCATTATTATATAGAGTACAGTCCACAATAAAATGACTATATATAACAGAGAAGTTGGAACTACAGGATATGTGCTTAGTACATTATTCAACCCTTGTCCTGCTGGGAAGTTTTTACCATACATTCTGCCTGTTCTGGGCTTTTAGAACCCATCAAATGCATCAAATGAGGAGTCCTGCTTTTACGTTGCTATTTTAGTAGCTTTCGTAGCAGGCTTATAGATCTGGGGGTTTGGTGGTCTTGGCTGTTTTTTGATTAGCCCAATTAAAAAAAACGGGGGTAATTCAACTACAGGCCGGCTATGTTGTCTATATGCAATCAGAAAATAGCACATACAAGCTAACAAAGGCCACGAATACCCCCCAAACCCCCAGTTTTTGGCATGCTATGATGCTTTATGGTATGGTACATTTATTTACCAATACCAATGTCCTGAGCCCTTAGAATAGAACCCTCCTAAAATAATGATAATAATAATAATAATACTTTGCTATTTTCTTACATTGTCCACAAGTTGCCATATGAAGTTACACATCAAAACAAAGCTAAGGGTCTCTACTTTTTGAAAAAAATGACTTTGCAAATTTTGACTGCAGTGGCTATAATAGTAAATTTGTTGTAAAATTCTCAAAGTCTAAAACACTCATGCATTCGCCAGAACATAAATGCACATCCAAGCCCAAAGAAACTGTATAAAAATTGCTACATACATATACATATCCATACACTCTATGCATTATATTGTCGGTATATCGAGCAAGAAATTTTTGTCAGGCCTACAACAATTAACTTGAAACTTTTCTTAAAGTACGATGACGATTCTATATCTATATAGGTAACTGTACATGTGTTCCTATATATGTCATAATCAATAAGAAAATTTAACAGTAAATTCTAGAACAGGGCATGAGGTCTGTTTGCATTTGCAATAAGTGGTGTTATTTAGTTGTCTGCGAGTATTTGGTAGATATACGATACACCAAACAATCCGCATTCCTGTCATTTAAAAGATAGGCCTGACGTCCCAACAATCTTGGCTCTTTCAAAGTTTTAATCCGGAATTTTACAATATAATTAGTCAGCGGCGATCATTTTTGTCCATAGACCCTATAGCCAGATTAGTGCTTTGACTTATTTTACCTAAAAATATTAACCGTCTGTTTTTAAAAACAGAGTAAGCTAGCAACTCTTGAAGGATACGTAACCTACGTTAAATATTATCGTTAACTACAACTGCGCAAAACCTTGGAAAATAAGAGAAACATATGTTCAAGTGGGGTTCTCTATGCTATGAACTGTTAGACTAGATATTGTTGCAAATTATCTTCTGTTTTTTTTTGCGTTTGGTTATTGGTTTACATGTCTTGTATGATTATTTATTTGTTTTGGAAAATGCAAATAAAGATTAAAAATATTAACAGTCACTGCAAGGAGAGTGACTCCGAAAGACCCATACCTATTCAAAATTAGTCCTACAAAAAAGCACGAAATTGGTAGGAATTACTGCTAAAACATAAATACGACAGACAACATACGACAGACCGGAACCTGCCGCCTTTTTGTTGTCTTGTTCCCAAGAGGATTGGATGTAAAAATATAGATACCATGACAGTATTTGACAGTGAGGATTACGATGCATGTAAGTTGTATGTACAAAAATTGTACATGTAGCGAATCACTGCCATTAGTAGTGTATAACTCCACGGTCGGGCATTTGGTTGGAGTCATTTTAAAGTACAGTCAGTACAAACATGAAAAAGATTGTGATATGTTTCCTTTCGGTTGATGTTGTCGGTCAACATAAAAAAAAAAGAAAAAAAAAGCTGATAGAAAGTCTGATAGAAACCTAAATTGTCAAACAGCCTAGGTACATGTAATATATAATTTCACACGTTTTTACGTACTTCAATACATAAGAATATTCTTGTAAACACAAAACAAAATTGGCTAAATGTAGAGATAACATCAAAAAACAAAATGGCGACCACCTGTTGTCTTTTTAACATGCATGCTGGAGTCAACACAAAATTGGGTTTCTTAAAATAATTATTATACTATTATGATTTTACACGTTTACACTTTTTGACTTATTTCAACCTATAAGAATATTCTTGTAAGCACAAAACAAAATTGGCTAAATGTAGAGATAACATACAAAAACAAAATGGCGACCACCTGTTGCTTTTATAACATGCATGCTGGAGTCAACACAGAATTGGGTTTCTTAAAGTAATTATTATACTATTATGATTTTACACGTTTGCACTTTTTGCCTTATTCCCCCCTATAAAAGTATTCTTGTAAGCAGATATTGGCTAAACGTAGATATAACATCAAGAAACAAAATGGCGACCACCTGTTGCCTAAATAACATGCATGCTGCTGGGGTCAACACAAAACTTGGTTTCTCAAGCTCAAAAAATAGCCAAAGACAATAGTCACAAATTACAACTTTCCCCCTTTTTCCGGCCAAAATGTGTCTATTTTTTATGTTCCCTGAGTTTTGTATTATAATTTAGAGGCCATCTTAATTCTTCTCATTCTAAGAACGCAATAGATACGACATGTATCATGTGGCAGATATCGTATTGGAGTTTACTGAAATTCGACTTCCCCTTTCGTTGTGTACCTATGACTAAATATTAAATGGCAGCTAGTCTTATACACAGTATTACAACGACGTACATCTACAATTAAAATGCATTCAAGTTTCAAGTTTATTTATTTAACCAGGATATACCTCAGATCTACCGATCTGCTTTTCAGTTATTCCTGAATTCTCTACAACACTGCATTACATACAGTGTTGTAGAGTTCAAACTTTGTTCTAATACAAAAAAAAAAAAACTCACCATGAATTTTCGGTCGATCTAGTCAACCTTCGTCAGATGAATGTTGGAACAAAGTTTGAACTCTGCAACTA